ATGTACCCTGCAAAACTATCTTTCAAAATTGATGGAGAAATAAGATACTTTCATGACAAAGAGCACCTTAGGAACTTCATGAATACCAAAGGAGCACTCCATAAAATTTTAGGTAATATTCTAGGAAAAGACAATGAGGATCACAAGCCCTGGAAACCCATCAGAATGAATCCGGCAGGCATGACAAGGAATTAAATGCAAAGTGGGAGAATCCAACAAAAAGAAAAAGTCATAACAAGGAGAAGTCAATACCTATCCATTATAACCATCAATGTTAAAGGTCTCGATGCACCAATCAAAAGAAATAGACTGACAGAATGGGTCAAGAAGCAAAATCCAATAATATGCTGCATACAAGAAACACATTTAATTCGAAAAAGAACTCATAGACTGAAAGTTAAAGGGTGGAAAACAATACTCTATGCAACGGGAACTCAAAACAAAGCAGGAGTAGCTATCTTCTTTGCAGATCAAGTGAGTTGCAAACCAACACTGACTACGAGAGACAAACAAGGACACTATATCCTTGTAAAGGGAACAATCCAACAGGAAGAGATGACAATCATAAATATATATGCACCAAACACTAGTGCTCCCAACTATATAAAAACAATACTAACAGACATGAAAAGTCATGTAGGCACTAATACAATAGTAGTGGGGGACCGCAATACGCCACTGTCACAAAGAGATAGATCAACTAGACAAAAAATAAGTAATGAAATACTAGAACTCAATCGAAATCTTCAACAAATGGTCTTAACAGATGTTTACACAGTGTTCCACCCTACAAAATCAGAATACACATTCTTCTCAGCTGGACATGGGTCATTCTCCAAACTGGACCACATACTCACTCATAAAACGTGTTTAAGTAAGAACAACGCAATTGAAGTTATCCCCTATATATTATCAGACCACAGTGCAATGAAATTGGAGATTGATACCAAAAGAATCTGCAAAAATTTCATAAACACATGGAAATTGAACAACACACTTCTGAATAACCAATGGGTCACAGAGGGAATTAAAGAAGAAATCAGACAGTTCCTTCAAATAAATGACAATGACAACACAACATATTGGAATCTGTGCGTCACAATGAAAGCAGTCTTA